CGTCTGCCCACTGCACCGGGGGCCCGCAGTCCAGCATCTTGCTCGTCACCAGCTCCAGGGCTCCTGGGTCCACACCTTTGGGAGGCTCCCCCGACGGCACGGCGAAGCCCCCGCGGGGAGCCGGCGCCGGGGCGCGCTCTGGAAACTTTTCAAAGGGCTCGAGTTGTGGACCGTAGACCGGGGAGCCCAGGACCTTGAGGGGGACGCCCCCTGCGTACTTGCCAGATGCCTCCTCCGCAGCTCCCGGCGGCTTCGCTCGGAACCCGTTGCCTCGACACTCGCCGTTGTCCACGGAGGCGTAGGATGCGCCGTCGGCCGCCGGAGCCTTGGCGGGCTGGTAGACATACTTGCGGTAACGGCCCTCTGCACCCTCGTCCGTGGCCTTGCGCTTCAGCGACACCCCGGCCTCCACGCCAGGAGAAGCAGCCTGGAAACTGTAGGAGGTGGGCGCGGGCCGCGGCGGGGCGGGCGCAGGCAGGGGCGTGGGCGCCGCCAGGCCGGAGGGCAAGTAGGAGGTCGGTGGCGGGGCCGGAGGCGGTGGCAGAGTCCCGTAGCCGGGCTGTGCGGCATAGCCCCCTGCGGGGTAGTTGTACAGAGACCCTGAGGGGCCATAGCCCGGCGGAGGTGGAGGTTGCAGCAACGTGGCAGGGGGCGGCGGAGGCAGCGCGGTGCCAGTCTGCGCGCAGTAACCGGGGGCCAGGTACCCGCCGCCGTAGCCCGCCGCGTATTCAGATGCCGCCGATGGGCCCCCGCACGCATTGCCGGCATAGAGGGGTTCAGGTAGGTTCCCGGCTAAAACCGGGGAGCCCCCGAGGCCGCCGGAGCCGCCCCCACTGCCTGACTTGGTCCCCGGAAGGCCCTCGTGGAGTGAGGCCAAGGGGTAGTGTGGCTCTGGCCCTGGCCAGGGCTCGGAGTCCCCCTTGGCACCGTTGAGGAAGGAGGCATCGCCGTAGCCGCCCAGGGCGGGTCGCTCGTAAGGCGAGTCCAAGACTCCAGAGTACTTCTCTGCATAGCGCTTGAGGAGGTTGGAGGCAGTGAGGGCAGAGATGTCATCGTGTGCCCAAGCATAGTGGCAGCGCTGGCGACCCCCAGGGGGCAGCTCCAACTTGTGGGCTGGCGATGGGGTGGTGGAGGAGACGTCCAGGTGCTGCTCTGGCCACTGGTTGAGGGGCTGGGCGTGTTCCGGTGTCCAGTGCATCTTCGACAGCTGCAGGCGAGAAGGAAGGGGCTAGATAGGTCCTGCAGAACCCACAGACTGCTAGCCACAGGCCAACCCACTGGGACCGAAGCTTGGGACAGCCTGGTTCTCTGGCATCCACCACCCTCCTGGGGCACCTTCTCCAGCACCAAGTGCACAATCCTTGTCCCTCAGTCCCAGGATTAAAGTTATCTAAAAAGACTTCCCTTAGAGCCAAGAAGTATCTGGAAACGACATGTTTGCTCCTAACTTCACCACATAGGCAGCGATTATTATTTTGTCCTGGCAACACCAATACTGCCCTCTAGGACACATGGTCCTCACTTTCAAACCTAATATAAGTGAAGGGGGTCTGGCAATGGATGGGGCACCCCAGACCTAGGATTAGTGAAACCCAAATGTGGCTTATTTGGTAACAGCTGTTTGCTGCACACCTACCATGTGCTAGATAGGCACTACAGAGGCACTAGTGTTATGTAAAAATGAGCGAGGCCTGCTGCAGGGCCTCTAGCCTGGTGGCCCAGCAGTTTGATAGTCCTAAGTGCTCTGTTCGTCTCAGCCTTCCCAGAGATTCCAGGGCCCTCTTTAGGTCTGAAGTGAGGGATATGGGTCTTTGGCAGTGCTTCATCGTCCCTAGGAAACCCTAGACACTGACCCAGAAGCATTCACCTCCTTTCCATTCGGTTTCTTTTAGTTTTTTGCCTGATGAAGTCAGAACACCTGGGTTCCAGACCCATTTCTGCACATGATGGTTGTGTGCCCAGGGCAGGCGCTGCCACCTGCCTCATTCCCAAAATGTTTCACCACAATACAGAAAGGCTATTTAGAACAGACGAATCATATTTCAGAGAAGATGGGGGAAAGTTAGTTCACAGCAATGCAAAGTTAGTGCATATCATAGAAAGTGGGTCATAGATTTGTTTCTGAGCTTCCTAGTAATCGAATAACTCACTTTGCAAAGTAAAAAACACCACCATAGTCAAAAGCAGCAAAATGTTCCTGACATAAAGATCACAGAACTTTTTTTCATAGACCTCAGGAAGCACACCTGTGAAATGTAATAATCTCATCTTAGGAAGCCATGCCACAAACACAGCAGAAATATTACATGGCTGTTTCTTACACTGTTACTCAGCACCAGTCAAGGTATGAGCCAAACACTGGTAAAGGGATTCAGGGCCTGGGGAACTGCACTCTCCCCGCACATGGCTCCAATGGGTTAGCCTGCTCCAAGGCTAAAATCTCAGACTAAATAGACCCATGACACGCCAGAGACAGTTTTTGTTGATGAGTATTTCTTAAACCTAAGCTTTTGGCAGGACGATTAGCCTTACAAGTTCAACGTTCTCTCTTCAACAAATTTTTTATTGAGCAAATACTAAGTGCTGTGCTCGGTAAGGGGCCAGATTGCAAGGTGAATATGATTGTTCAGCTGGGCAGAGGAGAGAGACAACATCGTTCGTGAGGTGAGAAAATAGAGGTGTGTGCCAAGGGTTCCGAGGCTCAGGGAAATGTGCCATGCCTAGTTGAGATGGCCTCACCAGGGGAAGTGGTGTCTTCACTTGACCTTGAAGGGTGAGGGACCAAATTGACCAGACAGGCTAGAGGGTTCCAGCACCTTTAAAGGTACAGAGCACAATGCATTCAGAAAGGTTGAGTTGGGTTAGCTCGTATGCCCTATTCCCTGTTCCCTTCCTCAAGACAATTTATTGCCTTTCTGAAACATTGTCATAATAAATCTACAAATCTACTGTATCTATGATGTGAATCATGTCCCTTTAGAAATAGAGCTTACGTGCAGTGCACGACCTACATAACCATACATTGCAAGCCTGGAGGGAGCACTAAGAAACGTTGGATCACCGAGTCTTGGGAGTAGGTGTATGTAGGGGGAATGGTAGAAGAAGAGGCTGAAAATAAACAAGTAACTTCTCGGGTTCTCCACAGTTGCCCTTACTTGCAGCAGCTTGTTGACAGCACCACCTCCTATGTCTGCGACCTGACATCAGTGAGAGAGGACAGTCTTTGAAAGTAAAACTGTTTACCCTCACTGTCCTAGGGAAGGCACGAGCCAAAGATACTAAAACTTAAAAAGGAGAGTCCTTAAGGTTATTTCGCCTCCATCTGAGAGGTGATCCCGACCACCAATGGCAAGAGGGAAGAGCTGAGTGTGAGGTCTATAGGGAGCAGATATGCAAGCTCCTCAGCTCCTACTGATGGGTCTCCCAATAAGAGAGGCATTATCTGGTATCAGGGGGTAATTTCCTGGGACATCAGAAATCACAAGCGGTTCTGGTTTCAGGGTCATATGAAGCAGGGGTCCCCGACCCCCAGGCTATGGACCACTACCGGTCTGTGGCCTGTTAGGGGGCCATACAGCAGGAGGTGAGCAGCTTGCAGGCAAGCGAACCTTCTTCATCTATATTTGTAGCTGCTTCCAAACGCTAGCATCACTGCCTCAGCTCTACCTCAGATCATCATCAGGCATTAGATTCTCATAGGAGCACCAACCCTATTGTGAACTGCACATGTGAGGGATCTAGGTTGTGCGCTCCTTATGAGAATCTAATGCCTGATGATCTGAGGTGGAGCTGAGGCAATGATGCTAGCACTGGGGAATGACTGCAAATACAGATTAACATTAGCAGAAAGGTTTGACTGCAGAGAGACCAAAATAAATCAATTGCTTGCAGACTCATATCAAAACCCTATCAGTGAATGGCAAGTGACAGTTAAGTTGCATCAGTGGCAGGCTGTATAGTGGCAAGTGAGTTGATGTACTTCAATTGTACAGCAGCATCTGGTGGCAGGTTTTAAGTCAGAATCCGACACTTATTTTATTCTATCTGCGCCTCTTTTCCACACTGTGCGCTTGTCTCAGTCACAGTTTTGGTAAGCCCGCAAGCCAACCCTAGCCAAAATGATTAAAAAACAAATGTCACTGGAGAGCTGCTTTGAAAAGGGAGAAGGACCTAATGATGAGACAGCAGAAGACTCAGACTGCCAACAAAAAGAAAGCTGCATTTAAAAGGAAATACCAAAAGTCCTACTTAAATTGCAGGTTCATTACAACAGGTGATTCACATTCTCCAAGCCTGCTTTGTATAATATGTAGCAACTGGCTATCCAACGAAGCCATGACACCTTCGAAACTCTTTCACCACATGGAGACCAAGCACCCCGAATTGAAAGACAAACCTTTGGAGTTTTTTAAAAGAACAAAACATGAACGCAAAGAACAGAAGCAATTATTGAAGGCCACCACTTCATCAAATGGGTCTGCCCTGAGAGTATCATTCTTAGTGGCTAATTGCATTGCTAAAGCTAAGAAGCCCTTTACTATTGGTGAAGCATTGATTCTGCCTGCTGCTAAGGACATTTGTCGTGAATTTTTAGGACAGGCTGCAGCTCAAAAGGTGGCTTGTGTTCTTCTTTCGGCTAGCACCATAACTAGATGAATTGATGAGATAGCAGAGGGTATTGAAGCATAGTCGTTAGGGTTAATGAGGCACTGTGGCATGCAATCCAGGTTGACGAGTCTACCAATGTTGACAACAAGGCAACGATGCTTGTTTTTGTGCAATATATTTTTCAGGAGGATGTGCATGAAGATATGTGTACTTTTGTTGCCAGCCAACTCTACAGCTGCAGAACTATTCAAGTCTTTGATTACATATCAGGTATGTGCACAGATGGAGCAGCTACCATGACTAGATGACTTTCTGGTTTCAGTACTTGGGTCAAAGAGGTCGCTTCTGAGCGTGAGTCTATGTACTGTGTCATCCATAGAGGAATACTGGCTAGCCAAAAAATGTCACCTGAATTTAACAATGTTTTGCAGAATGTGATTAAAATTATCAACCTCATTAAAGTACATGCCCTTAACTTATGTCTGTTTGTGCAACTCTGTGAGGAGATGGACACAGAGCACACAGGTCTTCTCTTATACACAGGAGCGAGATGGCTTTCTAAAGGTAGATCACCGGCCAGAGTTTTTGAGTTATGAGAGTTGCTCTAGAGATTTCTTTTCGAAAGACGGTCACCACTAGCAGCACATTTCAGTGACACAGGATGGGTCACAAAACTTGCTTACTTGTGTGACATATTCAGTCTGCTTAACCAACTCTATCTGTCACTTCAGGGGAGAATGATAACTGCGTTCAAGTTGGCAGATAAAGTGGCTGCATTCAAAGCCAAACTGGAATTACAGGGGTGATGCTTTTGACATCTCTCAAACATTAGCAGAGATTTTGAAAGAGGCTGAGCCAGGACCTTCTTTCTTTCAGCTGGTGCATGATCACCTACCTCAGCTTTCAAAAGAGTTTGAGCATTACTTCTCAACCACAAAAGGCCCCTGAACTGGGAAGGAATGGATCCGCAACCCATTTTGAATAAACCAGGTAAATCTACTTTGTCTGTGCTAGAAGAGGATCAACTGCTTGAGACTGCAAATGATGGTGGCCTTAAAAGTATGTTTGAGACTACTTCAAATCTCCATTTGTTCTGGACTAAAGTCAAGGTGGAATATCCTGAGATTGCCACAAAAGTGCTGGAAAGCCTGCTTCCATTTCCAACATCCTATCTTTGTGAAGCAGGGTTTTCTGCAGTGACAGCAACCAAAGTGACATTACGAAGTATACTGGACATAAGCAACACACTTCGGGTCTCAATGTCTCCCATCACCCCCAGATGGGACAGTCTGTTTGCAAGAAAACAAGCTCAAGGCTCCCACTGCTTCTGCATTATGGTGAGTTGTATAATTATTTCATTATATATTACAATATAATAATAATAGAAATAAAGTGCACAATAAATGTAATACATTTGAATCATCCTGAAACCATCCCCCCCACCCCACCCTGGTCCATGGAAAAATTGTCTTCCACAAAATCAGTCCCTGGTGTCAAAAAGGTTGGGGACCGCTGATATAAGGTAATATCAGAGGTATACAAATGCAAATATTGTGTTACCACATGGACCCCAAACCTGGTTTTTTCTATTCACTGTTATTTGTGCTTTGACTCCTTAATGTAGAGAAAAGTGATTTAACCTTGATGAAGCACTTTCCCTGAACATTTTAAAGTGAGCACGATGGGGGAAAAAGAGTCACTCCTCTCAGAAGGACATACATAGACACAGTAAACATGGCTCTGTGTCTGGACTTGTCCACACGCATTTCCTTCGCCCCCTGCCAGACCCTCTGCTCCCCGTCTTCACTCAAGGCCAAGCACTCAGGCTCTGGTCATCACTGAACCACTCCACCTAGCAATTGCAGACTCCGGGAACCCAACTGTGGCCCTCCAAACCTGTCCTCCCAGCATCACACCCACTCTATCTCATCTACTTCAGGATTAGTCCCTCTCAGGCTGCTCCTAACCCCTACCTAGAGGGGCCCTTGTCCCTGGCAGCTCAGCCAGCCCACTTGATTACTACCCTCAACTCACTCCTATGCTGGCTTTCCACTTCAGGCAGTTCTCTTCCATTTTGGCCAAAGGCACATCTCCCTCACCTCTGGCCTTCTGTTTTCACCTTTATCTACGTCTACATCCACTTTGCAGGCAGGAGGCCTGAGGGTCCATCCACTGTAGCCCTTGATCCTAGCCTGGTGCTTGGCTGCTAACTCGCTCGTTAATTAACTATTCCTCCCCAATACCGTGTCCTAGCTCCCTCCCACAACAAGCTAATAATTGTTTCCTATCTTCAAAAAGACCTCCTGGACCCTAAGTCCTCCACTAGCTACCAGCCCATCTTTCTTTCCCTTTTTTCAGTCATCATTGTCTACATGCAATGATCTGGCCTTTGCTGGAAGTCTTTTAGTGGTCTAACTGGGGAGCTGGGGACCAGGTCAGCAATTTCTCCTGAACTTAGTCACATAGCACTTGATCTCAAGACTTTATTTCACCTCTTCCAAGGAAAAGAACAAAGGTCTGGCCAGAACTCAACTGCCCAAGGTGCAGGCTCAACTCATGGACCCAAGGAGGGTGAGAGAAGGACAGAAGTTTGAGGGAGAGGGTGGTGAGGTTTCCAACCTGCACACAAGCTGAGAATGCTGGCCCACATGAGCCTAAGGACACAGCAGCACGCATGCCTACACCACCCAGACCGTGCACAGATGTGCACATCTGCAGACACAAGTGCAGTTGTCCATGCATGTACACATATGTTTATACACTGTCTAGGTCTCTCTGGAACTTTAAGTGCAGTCACAGTTAGGCACTTCCTGACACACCTAGCTCCACCCTTGCCTTCCTCCCTTCCCCCACTTAGAAGGATTAGGGTAGAGCATTCTCTCTCCCTCTCTCTCCCTCCCCTCCTTCCTTCCCCACCACCACCCCCTGCCACCACCCCCAGGCCAGTTACAGCCCTCTTGCTCTCACACTTGGACTCCACCTGCCTGTGACCTAGCTCACAAGCTCCAGTCATTCAGTGTTCTGCAGGAGGGATCTTCTCAGGAGATCTTACCTTCCTCCCAAATTCATAGGAAGACACTCCAGTCCTCCACTTCCACTAAGCTGGAGGTGAGGAAGGGCCCAGGGACTTGGGAGAAAGTGTGGGCTTTGAATCGGGAGTAGCTAGGTTTGAATCCAGGCTCATTTGTATCCCTGTTGTCAGGCTGCCTGACCTCAGTGAAGCTCAATTTCTTCATCTGTTAAAGGGTATAACATATGCCTTGCAGAGTGGTCATAAAGATTATATAATATATGCAAAATACACAGTCCAGTTTGAAGTACAAAGTAGTGTGATAAATGGTACAATTAAGAACCTGAGCAGTGGCCCAATCTTGCTTAGTTACTCTGAACAAGGCACTTCTCAGGGTTGGGGGAATTTGGAGAGAATGTTCTGTGAGAGAGGTTCATTCCAGTTGATATGACAGAACAGCCCTCGTGCCGTTTTCCTAGCACTGGGGGTAGAACCAGCCCCTATTCTCTGCTTCATCTTATGTAACCCTCACAACAGCCCTATGAGATCAGTGTTATTGTCTTTATTCCCATTTTACAAATGAGGAGACTGAAGTAGAGAGATTAATATATCCCCAAGGTCACACAGCTGTCGCATAGTGCAGCAGGATTCAGCAGCAGTCTGACTACAGAGCCCAGGCTCTCCCTATCTCTTGGCTGCACTGCCCTCCCCTCCCCACCCCACAAGTACTCAAAGCCAAGGAAGGGCCTGAGGCCATGACCCAGCCTACACTAATACTCATTTCCTTGGCCCTATAGAAATGAGTCTGTATTTGCCTACCAATGTAGCTGTGTCTCAGATGCTATACATATACCCTTCAGACCTACAGTTGGAAGTACCTACTAGGGGTGGAAGGCAGCAGAACCCCAAGTCTCCTGTGCACTCCAGGCAGGAGAATTTGTGTCTTCTCACACAAAACAGCCCAAGTAGAGCTGTTCCTTTCCC